GATGTAGGAAGATCTAGTAGTAGCTCTATCGCTTATTGGACATGCTAGTCTTTATTCTTTATCTTATTTTCTGCTAGTTGGTATGATTTTAGCCTATTATCACTATAAGCCTAATAAGTAGGTTATAACAGGTACTACAATCTTGGTATAATCCATGGGTCCTATACCTAATTTAAGACTCATGTGTTCCCTACCATCCACTTACAGGTCCATAGCCCATGGCACTCTTACAGCTTTTCATGTTATTTTCTTCTGTATACTGCACAATGGTAATTCCAAGATATTTAGCTTCCTTTGCCATTTTTAGATGTAGGTTCTTTTGTAATGTGAATGCAATAACATAGGTTTTCGCACTATCTTGCCATTTTATTAATTGCCTGCTACATCCTTATGGCAACAACGATCCCAAAATTATTGTATACGATACTAAGTTACACTGCTCTAAATTATTACAATGCAGTTTTTAATTGTCTTCTTTTTGTCCTTACATTACAGTAGCTCGCAATCTTGTGTTGTTATTCATAAATTGGTACTATTCTTTATCTTCTTAGAAATTCAATTATTATACCTGTTTCTTCACTAACAACATATTGTTTTTTTTTAGAGCAATTTACAAATCTTACCATATAATTGGTGACGTGGAGTCTGTATTGTGTTCTAGTAATATTCTTTCATACCGGCATACGCTCACCGAGAGACGGTTAGTGTTTTAAGTTCTACGAGTATATTAAGATCTTGAATGCTGCGTATCAATTTGCCGGTGAATTATGCAGGCAATTCAGGTTTTGTTAATATTCTGGATGCTAGAGATTGCATTAAGAGCACGTTGCGGGTAAATATCTTCTAGTTGATAATCCGTACCTGGATATTCATTTCTATTGGCTGTATACTAAGTAGTTTATTACCTATGAGCTAAATGTATAATTGCCTTAAATACTAACACAATTACAATTTATTAGCCAATTAATTTAACTGAAGCAATCGGTGTAAAAAATCTGCTCAATTCAATTTTGTTAATACTAATAATATATAATATTTTTTCCTACGACCACTTAGGAAAGTGACACATATCACACTATATAGACCTATGGAAAGTGCCCTATATCACACGCGTATGAATAAGAATTTACTTTCCACCCAAGTGAGAATATGCTACTTTCCGCAGTAGCTGTCAGAAAATGTCAAACACAATTTCTATTTTGATCTATGTAATGTCCATATTAATACTAAAATCGATATGATTGTTAAATTATTGTAAATTAGATCCTAGATATTTATCTTTAACAATTATTTTTAAAATAATTTTAAAATAACTAAGATATATTTGCTTTTTATTCTGGTTAAACACATAAGCGATTAGATCAATCAATTACCGTAAGGCCTGTTAGCTCAGTTGGTTAGAGCATCAACTTTGCAATTTGAGACCGTCCAACGACCGCGATCGAATCCTGGCTGTGCCAGATTTTTTTTTTATTTTTTTTTTTATTTTTTTTTATTTGTTTAGAAATTATGAAAATTTAATAAATACGATTATTGTTGATTATTTTTTTAAATACATTTTAATTATTATAATAATCTGGTTTTACATTTTTTGATGAAATTATTTTGTGGTCGTAGGAAAAATATTGTACATCACTTGTGTGAAAAGTGATTTTCCACACTCGTAATGTAATATACTATATCAGTTTTTGTCAGAATACTAACATATTTTTAAAAAGTTTTATTCATTTTTTAATTTTAATATTCTCTCTCTACACATTTTACTTTTATCTTTTTTTGTAAGTATTTATAAATGTCTGTTATTAACAAGCTGCGACACTGGTCTTAAATAAACTGCTAAAGAGTATTTCGAGTAATGAGAACGAATAAATGCAAATTTGTGTTTGGATAGAGCTCAAATGAGGGAATGTCTATGCGAATAAAATTTTATTAATTATTTCATATTCTCGAGAATTAATCTCGGCAAATAAAGTTAGCTTGAATATGTTCAGATTAAAATATTTAAATAAGCAGTTTTGTTTAAATTTTAATGTTTACTTTTCCGTCTACAAATTCGGCTAGAACTAAAACATCGTTATTTCTACAATCCAGCTGGCCAATGATTGTAAAGTCAAATACCAAATAATTTTACCGTGAAATCAATGACTAATCCATTTACTTATAATTAAGCTTTTTTATTGCTAATTTAAGAGGGGATGGTTTGAGCAAGTATGTTAATTTGAGAAGCGCTGATGCGTTTTATGAATGAATCATTATTTATGTCTACCGCTGTCACACTTCAAAATGAATTGCGTACTTTACTGAAACATACTATACAACTATAGATGCAACGAGAAAAATTTCATTAAACTGATAATAACTGGCATTAAGAATGCAAATATCACTTTAAAAGCATTTTGTACGCTTTAGAGACTTGCGTTTAGTCAATATTATGTTATAACCATAAACAATCCTTCTAACATAACTCACACATACTCATAATAGTTTATCAACGGCGTGGATAACACCGTGAATATTTGCAATTAAATTTTTGTAAACAAAATTAGTATAGTAGTTTTTTGTCGTTGCATAAAATAATGAATACATAAAATCACTTACTTCAATATTATTAAATTGATCACTGGGTCGTTGGTTGACTCAAAAGGTATTTAAATCACCGATAACAGGCGCAGCATTTAGTGTTTCCGCTACGGCTGAATGGGTGAACTCGAGTTCCATTGGAACGGTGGAATGTATGTGCAAAATATATGAGTTAAATGTATGAAAAGTAGTAGGGAATCCAAACGGTATAAATGGTACAATAGCCTCGTGAGGCTGCAGGGCTGCAATGCAACACCCAAATGAGGCAATGGTGGGCTAGAATCCAATTCTCAACGAGGGTAGACACTGGCTGGACCCAAGTCTGATTGGGAAAGCTAGCTGGAACCCCACAGGTAGAAGCAGAAGGACTTCTGAAAGAATTAGAAAATGTAATTTAATCAAGGAATATACGAAAATCATGTCTAATTAAACCATGCGATAAAATATTGATCGAGGCGTATCTGTTTTCTTTTCCTTTTGTCACAGTCACGCTCGTTACTGTTCAGTGAAAAAAACCCATGTTTTAAGCACGTATTTTGTTAACTTGACGTTTTCTTTTAAACAGTAAAATTTTAATTTTATTTAAAACACATTTGTTAATTTTTGAATATTAAATCCTTTTGTGTACTCATTGGCCGAAGCCAGTACGTGTGTACACTTTATTCATACCCTGTAAAAATAACCCTTTGTTTATGAAATCAAAGACCGAAGAACAGCATATTGTTTTATTTACTTATATAAAGACAAAAACGAGAACATATACATAATAATAATACTACTACTATAAAAATAAACAATTTACTTGCTAGTAGGAAACTTAAAAATGTATGCTAATAGTTATTGTTTACAAATGAAGTGAGTTGATTGAAGGTCGAAAAGAGAGTGTCGTGTGGAAAACAATTTGCTAACTCCGATGCATGTTGACTGTTCGAAGTTTGAAATTGATAACAGCTAAAACAATGAAAGAGATAATATAGAAAAAATGTATACTTTATAACAAACAAAAAGAATATTTACTTCTGTGGCTACTTTATTAAATGCTGTAAATGGCCATCATTCTTTTCCATGCAGTAAAATAAGTTTTGTTTAAAACGTTTCAGTACATTACGCAATATGTCTGGTTTAATTGGAGTGGGTAGCATAAATCTTAGATTTGGATTCACTCAATATGCCCCCTTCTTCCAATCCAGCTTTGAGGAAAATTATCATCCAAAAATTAGCGGAGAGGTTGTACAAAGTAAGGTAGTGCGCCATCTTGTTGAAAAATGATGGTATTATGGTCTTCTTCATTCTCCAATAATTTTAGATACACTTCGTCATTAAGATAACCGGGTATAAAAATGGGACCGATTATGTGATTTCCATAAATAAACGCCCAAACATTCAGTTTTTGGGGATGCTGAGTAAGTACTTCATGAAATACTCTTGGATTTTCATCTGACCAATACCGACAGTTATGCCTATTTACAAATGCCGTTAATGTAAAATGAACATTTAACCGAAAAACACATATCAAACTTTTAATTTTGATTATTGTTAATATTTTCACTGACCACTTTACAGAACTAGAATCGGCGATCGAAATCATCCTCATTCAGTTCCTGAACCAATCGTATCTTAAAAGGATGAAACTTATGTCGTTTAAGGATTCTTCTGATTGTCGTGCGTGATACACCAGATACGTCGGACAATTTTCTAGTACTAAGGGTCGGATTCATTGCTACATGACCTAAAACAGCCACTTCTCTCGCTTGGCCTCTTTCATGCACTTCGACTGAATCCGTGGCATCAAATTTGGAAACCAGTTTGCAAAAGGTAAGCAGCGGAGACATTTTTTTCAGGATGACGTTCGTTAAATAAAGTCACTGTTACTCGCACAAAGTTGTTATTTCTAATAAACAATTTAATAATTTCCACCCTTTCCCCCACGTAATACACCATTTTAATTCTACTAAAATATTTGTTCTTCACAAAAAATATACACATAAATACTTCTAAAATACCAGTCTGATAATAATAATTATCAAAGAAAATAGTTTTGAGTATAATACTTTACGAAAGGAGCTTTGTGTCTTAATAATTATGTGACGCCTCAAAACTCTAAATAGGTTAGTTTTAAATGGCCACCATATATAATATTTACTATTTTACTATAACATGTTTTAGCAAAACATTTACATTTTTAAGCATTTAAGCTCTGAATAAAATACTAAGCATTTTTTTATCATCCTGTATTTATGTAATTATATAACTAAATATTCACTAATAATATTTAATGATCTACCTTAAATGACCTGTTTTCCGAATGACCCAAATCTCCCCTGGATTCTTGTGAAAAATTACGATTTCTTATCTTATCTACAACGAAATTATTAATTCAAGGTAAACAATTTATACATTTATGTTTAGTAACATTGAAACTAGCATTTAGTAAACATCCAAAATAATTCGATACCACCTTCAATCTATTTAACATTATTAATTAAAATAAAAATACCATTAAACCTTTAATTGTTTAAATTCGTCATCAGACGATAACATTCGTGATAAAAATTATAGTGAAAACAAATGCTTAGATATGTTCCACATTCCACAATACGTACTTGAAAAATTACGATGTTCTATATGTGGCAGTTATCTCAGTTCCAAACCTTTAATGGTACGGGTAGAAGACCAGCAAGTATGTGGAAAGTGTTATAAGTTATTACCAACTGAAGAAAAAGAAAAATGTGTCAGACAAATTGGGTTAGAAAGTATAGCCGAAATTATTCAGTTTCCATGTAGATATAATACACAAGGCTGTAGTCATACTTTTAATTGGTGCGATGAAAAAGAGCATGAAGCAACCTGCCCCTACCGAAGCCTAATCAGTTTTTCCAGTGAAAGAGCAAGGTATTCTAATCTTGACAGTATTAATACATTTTTACATAATGATAACGAAATTATCTGTGAGTCAGATCAAATAAAAGCCATTTTATTATATGACATTAAAGAAAATACATACACCAACGAAGCAAAATGTTTAAAATACTCATTAAATATAAAAGGTAATTGTGACCATACTATAACTATTAAAAATAATAACACTAATGAAGCAACTGGAGATGTTGAAATCAGAATGAACGGAAATATTTTCCTAGGAAAGCGACCCGAAGTAGTCTACTCAGACATTAAAGTGAAACCAATAGAACACAACATTTATGAAACATTGACAGATTATGATTTAAGAGATAAAAAGTGCACAAACTGTGGAAATCACAACGTAAAAAACCACTGTCTTCTAGGTCACAGCTCTTGTAATAAATGTCAAGGAAACGTTTGCGTGGAGTGTGTAAAATTACTAGAAAAGGATTCGAAAACTTTATGCAAGAATTATCCAAAAGGCTGCAGAGAAACTTTACAATTCGATAATGCTCACAGACATGAAGTCAACTGTCAATATAACGATTTTAAATGTATTTTGGATCCTTGTAACGTCATTACAACTTTACCCAACTTCAAGGAACATATCAAAAATGATCACTCGTCTGAAATATTTTTAACTAACGAGATCAATAAAAAATTTGTTAACAAAGATGAAACGATTGTAATTTTTTATTACGGAAGCATTTTTAAGTGCGTTTACTTTTATTACAAGACTTTTGTGGAGTTTTATGTGACGTTCGTTGGTTCTAGTGACGAGGCTGTGAACTATTTTTTTGAAATTACCATCAATTTAAATGGAAGTTTGATTACTAAGCGATCAAAATGTTCCAATTGGAATGACGTAATGTTAGAAAAAGGTATAACTTTTGATAGAGTTGAGTTGTTAGGAGACCATGAGAAGAAGTTAAATATTCAAGTAAATTTAAAAATTTTAAATAAGAAATAAATGTGTGCTTTATAAAGATAATTATTTTAATATTGCTAGTTAAAATTCTATATAGTTTTCGTTATAAGCGACAATATATTTAGTTATTTAATTTATTTAATTCATTGAGATTATTACAATATATATGTAAAAACAATTGCATATCCTATTTCTTAGACATTTTCAATACCTATTCCCGATATCATTGATATTAACATTCTAAAAAACTTTAGAATCTACTAAAATAAATTTGTGTTAATTTTCCGTGTAGTTTTTAATATATTAATTTCATACACTAACGTGACTAAAATTTAATCAGATAATTATTATTAAATGTGAATAAACAAAAAATGTACCTCATTAGCATAACAATAATTAAAATCTTTTAATCACATTTGAGTTTAAAATTATTACCTTCCTTTTTTTAGAAAATTATTTATTGCTACAAAATTTAAAGACAATATTTAAAATACTCAAAAGAAAGGAACATGTGGGCCGTTTGTTTCTACTAACAAATTTTTGAAATCGCTTACAAATTATCTCTAGTTTAATGTTAACAATAAATTTTAAAAATATTTACTATTTATAGGCATGCACTGATTTAAAAGCTAATAATATTAACCTTTAATGTTTTATATTTGCATAATTCTAATAGATAAGAACATGATAAAAACCCATTATATACAAGATATTTATTTGTACAAAAGACTGACATGTGATAAATTGTAAATATCGTAAGATAATTTTTAACAAAAAATTTTAAATTTTTAATAAATGCAAAAAAATCAGATCCACCTGAAGAAGTTGGAAAACTTTATAAAAATTAATATTCCATAACTTTAGAATATGTTAAAATTAAATAGCTGCAAATGAAATTGTAGACAGAGAAAAAATATACAGGATAATATAACTCTGAAACTTAGCTTTTGTATTATTAGTTTGTGCAACAAGAGTAGATATGGACAATCCACTCGAGTTGTACAGTATATTTTTTCTGCGACCCACTAACGAAATTCTACAAATTTAAAAAAATATTTTGAGTTATTTAGACAAAATAATTAATTTTAAAATAATTTATAAATTTTATTAATTTATAAAATAAAATAAAATTCGTCCAAAGTCTACATTCCAACCCGGGCTATATGCGTTCCTTATTCAGGAAGGCCGTTCTTCTTTTCATGTGAGCATCTTCTAAAATGTACCCCAAAATATAGTAAAATACAATACTACAATAAATAAAAAATTGAATAATTTTATTTACACCTACCTACTATTTTTATTTTTAATATTATTTTATAATTTTTTTTAACATTTATTTCCTTTTTTATAACGACCACTTTAGAGCAAAAACCAGCCATAAGAAAATAAGTCACGTGCATGCATACTCATGCACTTCTTTATAACATTGGAAAGAAACGGGGTGGGTGGCTCAGTGGTAGAGTCTTTGTCTGTGGATCCAAGGGTCCCAGGTTCGAATCCCACCGTTGGCCGGAATTTTTTCATTTAATTTAATTATTTAAAATTAATTCTGATGCCTTGGTAGGATTCCCCACTCGACAATTCACTGTTGGGTTCTAATTAACAGTGCTGTTCCTAAAGTGGATCTGGGAAACAGTAACAAAGCCTACACAGAACACGAGGCGAAATAACATCAGCAGTTGAAGCCGATGACACACAAAACAAAAAAAAACATTGGAAAGACAAAATGTCTCAGCGAAATTGGTGGAAGGGTTATTATTTCTTCTAGGTGGGCACTTATCGTCGAATAAACAGTTTTTTAGATACAAGTGCCACTTGTAATAGCTGCCTAAGCGCCCCAGTCTGAACGTCGCCCTTCCGTGAATTCATTGGACATGTATCATAGTGCAATTTAATAACAAATTCGGCCATTACAAAATGAGTCACAAATCTGCACGTTGGCTCTAGAACTATATATAATAAAACCAGAATAACCAAACAGCACATGACGTCCATTGGACGTCTATATTTTGTTCAAATATTGTCCGGGATATCCATGAACTTCATATGGATTGTTCATTATTTATACCCATTCAGAAGTCCAATGGATCTCCAAAAAATGTCCATGGTGGACACTATAAAAATTTTTAAACCTATAATAAATTACTATCATTTCACTAGTATAATTTAATTATTTGTAACTAGGTTTGAAATAAAATAAATCAATTATTTATTCTGTTCTTCGCTATCAAAATAACAAGATACCAAAGTGAAAGGCCATTCAGGCCAGTGGTTTCTTTTAAAAAAAAAGAACAGGTGGTAACCACAGATATCATTAACAGTCAAAAATTATTATTTTATATACCATATAACAATACTGATATTTAATCTAAACGATTAAGTAATTTCATAAACTAAAAAAAAACAATTCTTGTGTCATTAAAACTTTATTACAATATGTTTACAGTTAAAAGAGATGGGTATCTATTTGTTTTTAGATGAAAGCGAAAAACATGCAATAATTTCATTGCCTAATTTAAAAAGCATGATATTTAAATTTACCTACTTACAAATCCTTAATCCTTAACTGGTCTACTTTTAATTACATAAATGGTAAGTAACCATGAGTCTGACAGACTCCTAGCCAAAAAAGCGGTTTTTTCAAAAGTTATAAAAAAAATTATTTGATAACATTTTTTTAAATTAATAAAACAATATTATTATGGTATTTTTAAATCTATTAAACAAGAAAACATAAAAACGTTAAATTTTTTGACATAAGAAATTAATACAAGGCATATTCCAAAAGAAATCTTAGTTAAATTCAAATTAACATAATGTATCTTTAAAGTAAGTGAATATTTTATTAAAAAAACATTAGAATAAAAAAAAAATATAAATCCTACACAAAATTTGCAGGTAATAAAAATACACGAAAAAAATTAGTCTTGCTTTACTCTGGTACAATTTTTACAAATTTTTTGAGAATTTCTGGTTGGCTCTTTCTTACTTCACTTATACTTTTCTTTCTATAGTAATAATTAGTGGAATTGACGCACTCTTCCTCATATTCGCTAGATATCGTTATCGAGTCATGTTCTTTTTCATTTTGAGAAAATTCTTCTTCGCTGTACGTTAAATGATTACTGTCTATACAGACCATAAGAGAGACAATATCAGATGAAAAGAAACGAGGTATTCTTATCGAATTAGGCTGGATCATAGGCCACACAGAAGTAATGTATTAACGGTATTAACGATATTAACGGTATTAACGGTATTAACGGTATTAACGATAATAACGGTATTAACGGTATTAACGGTATTAACGGTATTAACGGTATTAACGGTATTAACGGTATTAACGGTATTAACGGTATTAACGGTATTAACAAAAAGTTAGTCAATTTCAAACAGGTGGACTACAGAGATTTGCTGGAGCTAAAGAAAATGTTAGGAAAAGCTGGGAGGAAGAATGGAGAGAGAAGTGTAACATTAAAGGGAACCACTTATTCAAAATAATGGATTGCATACCTAAGAAACCGTGGATTAGTTAAGTAAGAATTGATGGGACAAGAGCTTCAACCCTTCATAGATTAAGAATAGGGCATTGCTGGACGCAAGAACACCTTCACTGGATTGGAGTATTATAGTTCCTCCTTTGTGAGTGTTGAGAAATAGGTAATCTCCAACACATCCTACTACAATTTTCAATAAATAGACATGTAAGAGACATGTCGCTTTAAACCTTCATTACGTGCTTAAAAACCCTAGTGCTCGTAGTGCTTTAATAATATATAAATTCCTTAAAGACATTAAACTGTAAATTAAAAACTTTTAGAAAACTTTGTAGTGAGTGATGACCAACGGTAAGACACGCGCAAGCGTAGCGCAACTACTTCATAAACAAAAAAGAGAAAATAGTTCTGGGTCAATAATTCAGAGGGATTGAGCCCAAACAGACCGAAAAAAGAAGAAAGAAGACTGTCTATACAGTTTTCTTCTTTTACCTCTTCATCACTTATGTCACTATTCGCCTCATTATACTATTTTAAGCACAATTCCTCGAAATCATCGTTTAATGCGTTTACACTCTGTCGAGAATCAGCCCTTTTATATTAACACTAATGGTGACCTTGCGTCTACTAGACTCCGCGATATAAAAAACAAAAATGGACAAGGACGTAGCTCTCCTTATGACAACTGAAAGAGTACTAAAGGCTATGAAGGTACACGGAATGGCTGCTTGCCACATATTTCGGGTAAGGAATGCGGAAGTGTAAACTATAGTACGGTGTCTTTGAGACTTATAGTCACCAGTTAAGGGTTAAAGATAAAAACGTCATTATAGTGAACGTCTAATAGATTTGAATGATATTTCACGAAATTTTATTTAATTACTGTAATTTAGGTAAACTGACATTTTTTATAAATATAATATATATTTAATACGGGGAAACATACGTCATTCAGTTTAAATTAACTATGTAATTACTATAACAATAAGCCAATTGGCTTTAGTGTTATTCGGAGACACATAGTCAGACGAGCCCAGGAAAAAAAAACAATAACAATTTAAAATGAGATTTAAAAAACAGGCTAACTTCTAACTCAACTTTTCCTCGGAATTGATGTTGATGTTTTTAATACATTACAGGTAAATATTTATAAATGCTTTGTGAATACGCAAAATACGCCTGTTAGACGCTTTTGGAAAACACAATTTAATACACTTATTTCCCATAAACTGCCGCTTATTGCATTTTCTCTTTATATTTTATTTTTTACTTTCTTTAAATGAATCAAAGACTCTCGAATACTGGCAATATCTCGAGGGCACGTTTCTTATTAGAAAGGCACTAACACAGTATCAAAGTATTAAAATAAAACTTGATTTGGAAATTCCTCAAGTTTTATTTGGAGCAATGCTGCGGAATTTCTCAGCAAGAATTCTAAGCTAATGGCTCAGAAAATGGAATGAGTTTCGAATCCATTTGTTTCAACAGGAATGATGTTATGGAAGTCCGATGCAGATTTCCTTTAATGAGATTAAAAATAAATTCGAAATGGTGGCACGTAAGATGTGTATTTCTCAAGCATTTTTTTTAACAAAAGTGTTAATCTAAACTTAGAAAT